TACACCATTTGGGGCTGGCTTATGGGTCTTTCTCCTCTGTCAGAAAGGACCAATTCACAGTATTTGGATCTTCAATGGATTGCATTTAAAGCACTGCAATTCTTTAAGCTGCCGATATATTGTTAGGGCAATGCTAGAAAATGGAAATTTCTCTGCTGCATGGGATGTATTAGAAGGTGTTACTAGAATTGCCTTAGAAAAAGTGATGTTGTCTAGGCTGTCCTGTAACATTGTCCTGCACTGTCTAATTAGAAAACTTTTTTTTCTAATGAGGATTGTTCTATGAGGATTGTTCCCAACAGCATGTTGAAATTTAAGATGTTTGGTATAGCTTCCAAAGCAAAACGTGTATTTTTAAGGGACAGAGGTTTTCAAAATTTCCATAACAAGCGAGACACATTTTGAGTGTTTTGACAAGACTGCCATCACAGATATTACTAGAACTCTGTTCAATACATAAAATGGTTTTTTAGCTGCATAAAAGTACTGAAAAAATAAATGCTAAATCCCTTAAGAAAAATGTGCTCAGCAATTTTAAGGAGTTAACAAGATAGAGTTCCTTGGGGAAAATATGACAATCCTCTTTTTGTGGCAATTATTTGCCTTTGTAGTAAAGCCCTGCATTATCTAAAGCCACCAACTAAAAGATAAGAAATGAAGAAGTGGTGAGCTACAAAATGCAAAATATTTAATAAAATATATGTAAGAAATATATTTAAATAATAAACCTTAGCACTTGTCAGAAAAGAAGGTGGGGAGAATGGAGGAAAAATTACTCAGGTTTCTAAGTTCAGCCAACAAGACCTCTTACTAGAGGTCATGGGAAGAAGTTAACTCATTAAAAAAAAAAAAATCAACAGAAAACAAAAAGTATTTTAAAAACTAATCATCAGACATCTACAAAAGGCCAGGTTTTATGAAAGAAGAGAAAGATTTTAGGCACTCTTGACACTTCTGAGAAGACCGGATAGCCAGGGCCCCACTCCAGTTTGTACACCAACATTTTTGGAGAGATAAAAATTTGAAGTGGCTGAAATGAATGATGATGATAAAGATAATGAAATAGTTTTCAAACAGCCCATATCCTGTATAAAAGAAGAAATACAAGAGACTCAAACACCTACACATTCATGGAAAAAAGAAGAAAAAGCAATGAGTGATTTTCAATGTATTACATGTAATATTTCTTCCGAAAAATATAATATTTTTATGAGAAAAAAAATCAGAGAAAAGGAAGATTTGAACTCATCTTACAGCTTTTACGGAGCATATTGAAGCCAAAGATCTGGAAGTATGTGGAAAACATGTACGTTGTATAAAGAATTACATGAATTATGTTATTAGAAAAATGTAAAGGGGCTCTCTATTGGAATTATTATAGCTGCTTAGCTTGTCACTTTTCTCAGCCATTAACCCTCCAAAATGAATGTGAATATTTTACTCTCCTTAGAGCTCTATCCCATCTATGTATAGTATCATCCCTGAAAAACTCAGTGGAGCTGAGACTTACTCTTTTTTGAGAATCTCAGACTTTGACATCAGGAGGATGGTTCCTATTTTTGGAGGTCATAAAAATCTGAGTGAAATCACCAAAGTAATTTGGTTTGACATGTCTGCATAAGCTACTTCCTAAAAATGTGATTCTCTATTTTTCTTTAGATCTTTATATTAAATAGATTTAAAACAAGTTGCTTTTATTTCCCTAGCAGGCATAGCTCATGCTTTACAGATCTAACAGATATTAAACTATTCTACATTATTTGGTATAATTTGTATTTACTTAGGTTTTAACCTCTGCCATAGTTGAGCAACATCATACAAATATGACCATCTTAAGGCTTCATAAGTCAGTCCAAATCCTTATGAATTTAAAGCAGATTGAGAGTTGCCAATAATTGTTTGATCTTCTAATCTTGATTGGCCTATATGTCCCTAGATCAGCACTGCTAAGGTAATTTCTCATCTCTCAAAAAAAAAAAAAAACAGGATTTTTTGCTGCAGCCCAGAAGTTAGCCCTTTGGAGTTGCCTATTGTACTATGTCCAAATTAAAGTTGTAGAAACCCATGGAAACCCATGGAAAGTTAATGCCATATAGAAGCATTCTTCAATATGATTTTAAATAGAAGAATTTGTAAACACATACAATATGAATATTGATTTGGCTGCTTTGACAATAACCATAGTTTAGCAAGATGGAATCTTCGTTTTTCCCTTCTGTAAGAGTAGCTGTGCAGTTCGGCAGGTAGGCAGCTCTGCTCCACAGGTAATCCAAAGAGATCCAGGTTCTTTCTATTTGGTTGCTCCATCATTTGTAGGGTATGTTCTTCTCCATGATTAAGACGACTCACTATCACTATATCTGCATTTCGGCCCAAAGAAAGGATGAAAGGAAAGTGGCAAGTAAAGCTGCTTCCTTTTAGGGATGTGAACTGTAAGTTTACGTACCACTTCTTCTCCTATCTCACCTGTCAGACCATGGTCATGCCAAGCTACCAGGGGAGGCTCAGGAATGTCTCCAGCTGGGCTACCACATGCCTACCTTAAACTGGAGAGTGGAAAGTTTCAGTGCTAAAGGAAGAAGAAAAGAATGGCTGAAAATTTAGGAGACAACTGTGGAGCACCCTTTCAACAAATGCCATATCATCAATGTTCTTGATAGCACAGAGGATGAAAATGTAAGCAAAAACACAGATATTGACAACTCAGATTCAAAAAGTGACATAGTAAAGTTAGACTCTGAATGTGAAGAGGTTTTAGGACTACTTTACCCAATTTATTTTTCTTATATTTTCTTTCTTATATATGTTCCAAAGTCATATGTGATAGAAGTCTATATCAAAATGGTCTCACTCTGTCACCCAGGCTGGAGTGCAGTGGCATGATCATGGCTCACTTCAGTCTCAACCTCCCAGACTCAAGCAATCCTCCCACTTCAACCTTTGAGTAGCTGGGACTACAGGCATTTGCCATGATGTCCAGCTAAGTTTCATATTTTTTGTAGAAACAGGGTTTTGTCACGTTGCCCAGACTTCTCTCAAACTCCTGAGCTCAAGCAATCTGCCCATCTCAGCATCCCAAAGTGCTGGAATTACAGGCATGAGCCACCGCACCCAGCCTAAAGAGAACTTTTTAAATGAGTATAAATTTTTTAATAAAAAACAGAGCAATATGTCATAGTTAAATTTACAGCATTTCTTCTTCATTAGTGGTAAGCAAAACAATGTAAATTATATTCAATGGTCTCTTAGATTTGATGATGTACAGTAAAATGTTATTAATTATTTAACATTGATAAGTTTTTTGCATAGCTAGAATTAAAATTGGTCTTTATTTCATTCTTTAAACTTCTACCTATTTCTTATTTTTCTGTAACAAACAAAATTAGATGCATAATATAAATTTTAAATATTCCAGTGAGATAGCGCAATATGCTAGGAAATCTAAAAAAAAATATCTAAAAGGATGGCCTGAGTACATTAGTCCAAAGATTAAAGAACCAGCCCAAGCAAAAGGGTAGTGTGACTCAGTCCTGAAGAGGGGAGTAGGGGATTATTTGCAGGGGCAGACTCTTACATGTTCTCAACTCTATAATGAATTGATCATCATTTCCATTTAAAAACTAAATATGACTAAAGAATATGTTTCCCTGGTTAGTTAAGAATTAGCAAATGAATGTTATCAAGCAAATTAATTACTACATTTGCTAGTTTATCTGAGATCTGTAAGCCAAGTCAGTCCCTTTCTCTGCACCCCAATTTATTTCAAAATTAGCAATGCATTATTTGAATAGATGTATTTCTATACTTAGAAGCTTTGCTCTCTGAGCTTCTTGTAGCTACTGGTTGTCTTAATCTGGATAACAGCTCAGCTCATTTAACACATGTTTTTAAAATCCTAAAATTCACCCAAATATTCAATTTTTTCCTTTTTATTTTACTGTTATATCAACTCTTGACTTATTTTTATCTCACTGTCTTTGGCTCCTCTCTAGGTAATGATAATCATATTAGAAGAATTTTAATTCCAACCAATTCCAGATTAATACATTATTCTACAACAAATAAATTGTTCCATTCAGAAGCAGTACTAGCTACTCAATTTTTCCCTATTAATTTTTCAAAATAATTTGTATATATATGTAAAAATTGTACATATTGATGGGGTACATATGACATTTTGATGCAAGCATGCAGTGTGTAATGATCAAATCTGGATAATGGGGATATCCATCTCTTCAAACATTTATCATTTCTTTGTGCTATGAACATTCCAAATCTACTCTTTCTGTTATTATAATATATATTTTTAAATAAAATAGGTATATCTTACAGGATAATTTAATATCTATGATCGTACAGTAATATTACCTTATTCTTACTTGGAAACAAGCAGCTGGTCAAGTGCAATTTCCAGTTTTGTGTCCACTCATGCAACTTCAGAGGAATCAAGAGGACCTAGCAGGGAAATACAGGCATGAAAGCAGCCACTTTGGCAGATCCATTAAGGACTAACATGGCCAGAAGGGCTTTTGTGACCAGAATAAGACATCAGATAATTTTGTCTGATCTCCTACCCAAACATAGGGCAACCCAGAGTTTGAACTCAAGTAAGACTAATCACAGGGGTAAAGTGTATTTTCGCAGGAGCTCTAATGCATTAGGCCAAATCATATGATCTAAGGGTCAAAAGCAAGTTGGTTATCAGTGCAAATGGACTAGGCAAAGGGGGAGAAACAGGTAAGAGCCCACAGCTGGAAATCAGGGAAATAAAAGAAGGATGTGTATGCTCAAGCTGGACAGAGAAAGGCAAAGTATGAAAGAATTTATTGAGATACAGAAGTACAATTTTAGCCACATTTTATAGAAAATCTCCATACTTACACATGAATGAAAAAGATACTATTAAGGTCAGTATCTAGGCATATGTGGTTTAATCTACTCATTGTCCCTTCCATTGATTGCTCCTTCCCCCATGGTGTCCTTCTCTCCTTTATTTACAGATGTAATCACATGATCCACTTGGCCAATCAAGATTCTTCATCCCTCCATTCACAGTGAGGGATCCACAGGATGGGCAAATAACTCAAACAAGAGTGGAAATCCTCTGTTACATTTAATAAAAGAACAGTGAGATCAATAGCGTCTGCCATGAACTGCAGTAACTATGAAAGCCTGGAGTTGCCATGGCATGAAAGAAGCTGACAATGAAGCCAACACAGAGAAAAGTGGAGTCAAGCTACAGAGTGAGGAGCAGTTTCTAGTAACATCCTGTGAGCCCCTGGACATAGTCTGAAGGACAACTCAATGCTCAACTTTTCAGTTAAATGAGCCAATTAGTTTTATGCATATAAAGAAAGTATATATATGTACATATATATATGCATGTCTATACCCTTATTTTTAAAACAAATGAGAGCATACTCTGTACACTGTTCTGCCTATCGACTTTCTCACTTAATATATCTTTTAGAATTAGCACATGTAGATCTACTTTATTAGAGCATATACATCTATTTTATTCTTTAATGGTTGCATAAAGTTTCATTGTGTAAACATTACACACTATATTGCACCAGTTCCTTGTTGATCAGCATTTAGATTATGTACAATTATTTGCTACATCAAACTACAAAAATGACTATGCTTAGATATATGTCTTTGTACTATATACAAGTATATCTCTAGGCTTTTAGGAAGCAACTGACACATTGATTCTAGAATTTATATGGAAATTTGAAGGACCTAGAACAGTCTAAACAATTTTGAAGAACAACAGTGGATTATTCACATTATCTGATTTCAAGACTTCCTATAAAGTTACAGTAATCAAGACTGTACTGTAAGAATGAGTACATGAATGTAACATAATATAGAGTTCAGAAATAAACCTGTACATTTAGTGTTAATTGATTTTCAACCAAGATACCCAAATATCAATGGAGAAAGGAAAGTTTAAGATAGATTGAGCTGAAACAACCAGAAAAAAACCGAAAACTTGAGCCTCGACCTCCACCTCACATCATACACAAAAATTAATTAGCAATATGCGATAAACCTAAATGTGTAAGTTAAAACTGTAACTATTCCAGAAGAAAATTTAGAACATCTTTACAACCTTAAGCAAAAGTTTTAAGTAGATGTGTGAATGGCCAATAAGCACATGTAAAGGTGCTCAGCAGAGAAATGCTTTAAAACTGCAATTAGATACTACTTCACACATAGGAGAATAGCTGAAGAAAAAAAAAAAAAAAGAAAGAAAAGAAAAAAAACCCTGACAACACCAAATGTTCACAGAGAAATGAAGCAACATATATTAAACAATACTGGTGAAAGTATAAAATGGTTCAATTGCTTTGTAAAACTGTTTAGCAGTTTATTATAACATAAAACATATACTCACTCCATGACCTAGCAATTGTACTCCCATTTATCTTCCCCCAAGAGAAGCAAAAAAAATATGACCACAAAATGTCTTGTACAAGAATGTTCACGACAGCTTTATTCATAACAGTCAAAAACAGTATCAGCAATGGGAAAAAAAAAAACAAACTCTAGTATATTCAAAAATAGAATTTTTTTCTATTAGCAACTACTCAGCAATAAAGGGACAGAAGATATGGGAATCAAAAGTAGAGGAATAACTACTGATATAACAATGACATAAATGGGTTCTCAGAAACAGTATATTCAATGAAAGAAGCCAGACACAAAGGAGCCCACACTGTATTATTTCATTTATGTGAAGTCCAAGAACAAAGGCAACTAATCTACAGTGAGAGAAATCTGGACAGTGAAGTCCATGGAGGTGGAGATTGACTGGAATAGGGCAAGAGGAAACTTTCTAGGAGGATGGAGACATTCTTGATTGGGAGCTTGCTAACATGGGTGTATACCTTTCCCAAAACTCATCAAATTATCCATTTAATACATTTTTCTATGTGTAAATTTTACTTCAACAAAAAATAATACTTTTACTCTAGTTTTAATGAAGTTTAGAGAGTAAATGAAAATAAATGAATAAATTCAAACCACTTCTTTATCTGGAGGTCAGGTTTTTGCTAACTTTTTACCATTGTAAGTAACACTGCTGTGACTATCCACTGGGGCAAATAATTGTATGGATTATTGGTTAAATTCCCAAAAGTAGAATTTTCTTTATTAAAGATTTCAGTTAGTTTAAGACTTTTGAGACATATTGCAAAACTTTCTTCCCAAAATAATAATCCAATATACACTTTCACCTACAATGTATGAAAATACTCATTTCCTGCACTTAGCCAACATTAAGTATTGTCATTTTATAAACATTAAGAATGATATAAACACTAAGCGGCAATAATAACAGCAATTTCTAAAACTCACACGATTACTATACCCTAGGCACTGTTCTAAGTAACCTACCTATATTAACACCCATTTAATACACAAAACAATCCGATGACGTGGGTACTATTATGACCTCCAGTTCACAGATGAGGAAACTGAAACAAAGATCAAGGTATTTGCCCAAAGTTACCCAGTTAGTACATTTCAGAGGCAGGTCTTCAAACTCAGAAATTCTAGCCCTACAGTTAGTGTTCTTATCCACTATTGGTACCACTTCTCTTATTGTTTTAAAATATTGAATGATTGGATTATTGCTGTGGGTGTGGTTTAGCTTTCTTTCATGCTATTGACCTTTTCTTTTGCAAGTTGCCTTTTTGTGTTCTTTGCTCATTCTTCTTGTTTGTCATTTTTAAAAATTGATTTTTAAAAATATATCTCATAAATTAAGGATATTAACTGATATAATTTGGATATGTGTCCCCCCAAATCTCATGCTGAAATGTAATTCCCGGTGTTGGAGGTGGGGATTGGTGGGAGGTGATTGGATCATAGAGGCAGATTTCTCATGAATGGTTTAGCACCACCCCCTCCACAGTTATATGGATGTGGATAGCATCCACAGTTATCAGGTTCTGTTCCCTCTCTGGAATTCCAATTACAATGGAAAAATGTTTTCCATACGTTTATTCATACGACAGACCCTTAACATCCATGAGGAATGTTTAAGAATGTCACTGCAACATATAATTTCTCCCAGAAAAATGGAGTCAAATATAACCAGGAAATTTCCACTAACCCCCTTCCAATGTATAAAGATTTATTATTATTATTATTATTACTATACTTTAAGTTCTAGGGTACATGTGCACAACATGTAGGCTTGTTACATATATATACACCTGCCATGTTGGTGTGCTACACCCATTAACTCGTCATTTATGTTAGGTATATCTCCTAATGCTATCCCTCCCCCCCCACCCCACAACAGGTGTATGATGTTCCCCACCCTGTGTCCAAGTGTTCTCATTGTTCAATTCCCACCTATAAGTGAGAACATGCGGTGTTTGCTTTTCTGTCCTTGTGATAGTTTGCTCAGAATGACAGTTTCCAGCTTCATCCATGTCCCTACAAAGGACATGAACTCATCCTTTTTTATGGCTGCATAGTATTCCATGTTGTATATGTGCCACATTTTCTTAATCCAGTCTATCATTGATGGACATTTGGGTTGGTTCCAAGTCTTTGTTATTGTGAACAGTGCCGCAATAAGCACACGTGTGCATGTGTCTTTATAGCAGCATGATTTCTAATCCTTTGGGTATATACCCAATAACGGGATGGCTGGGTCATATGGTATTTCTAGTTCTAGATCCTTGAGGAATTGCCACACTGTCTTCCACAATGGTTGAACTAGTTTACAGTCCACCAACAGTGTAAAAGTGTTCCTATTTCTCCACATCCTCTCCAGCCAATGTATAAAGATTTTATAGGGACAGAAATAAATAAACTACAAGGTTATTAACATGGATTCTGTGGCCAAAATAAGCTCTATATTACATGCACCATGGCAAAGGGCTATGTTTAATGCATTTCCAGGGTCACTCAGAAATATCCAAAAATGGAAATATTAAAGCCACTAATGTGAAGGTTTTCTCTCCTTGGCACCTTATTCAAAGATGCATTTTTATGCCTCCAAGACGTGCTTTTTAGATTATCAAATAGAGCCATATGTAACTATAACAAGATTATAAAGCATTTACTTGACAACTATGCATGCTTGCTCTTTTAAATCTAATAATTCAGTGCTTCAAGGAGATTTATAATGTACCAACAATTCACTCAGAACAGGTTTCAAAGTGTGTGGTCCTCCAACACAATATTTGCCCTTCATACCTGTGGTGGAGGGCAAAGACGTAGATATTTCTAGTCCTCCTCATAACAATTACATACGGTCTGTTGCAAGGAAGGAAGTCTTAGGTCAGTTCTGCTAAAAAAGGGGCCTCTACAAGTAGTTTCGTGTCCTTGGTCATATTTTTCAAATACGAAGAACTTACATGTTCACATAAACATTTTAGTCGATTTTCGTTTCTGAAAGCACTGTAGATTCACATATCACCAAGTGCATATGGAGTGATTTATTTATGTAAGTTTGCCATTAAATTTACACCTTTCTGCACTTGAAAAGTGAAGTATTTTTAAGAGTAGGCAGCTTGTCTACATTTATACACAACTCCATTACATCAAAGGTCATTTATTTCAAATGTATGAGTAAATATCCAAAGCCCCTTCATCCCTATCAGGAAAACAAGGATATACATTGACGTAAATTAGGGGAGACTGTCCAGTCTGAGCATTAATCCAGGGGATGAGTGGCTAGAAAAATCCACCCAGATTGAGGTGTTTCACTAACTTACTGGTATTCTCAACTGGAGCTAAAAATGTTTTTAGAAAAAACATAATGAGAGTAACACATATACATACTAAATAATTTTTGCTGAACTATTATTTAAGATACTTGTCATATACACATGAAGCACCTGTGTCTTCTGTTTTGACCACCAGTTCTTCCTCCCACCAAGAGCTGGTCCACATGCTCCCTCTGGGCTGGCAGTCAGTGTCTGACTGCTGCCCTCTCTAGCCTGTGTTCCTTTCCTTGTGATTCCTCCTGAGTGGATGGCAAGGCACCCACGCACTCCCATTGCATTTATTCCAAGCCCTTTTATAGTATTACTCAGACTTTCCTCCTCCTGGACCAGCTCTTAGAAGCTCACCGTCCCCTTCTCCTCTAATTGCTGACCCTTGCACACATTTCCCTTCTGCATTTAGTAGGCATTGCACTTCACTGCCACTGCCCCTTTTAGGTTGAAAGTACTTTGCTTTCCAGTGAACTTCCTCTGGAATGTCCTTTGTCTATTCAGTCTGAATGTCTTTATAGAATAGGGAGAGGTTACTTTGTTGTGGTATTTCACCACCAATCAGGATAACATTATAAGGAAAGGAGATGTCTCAGAACAATGTTAATGGCTACCCTCCTAACCCATGGCGTCACCAACTGCTAGGTTTTCTTATCTCAGCATTTGCTGAGGCAAGGGCTCAGCTGAAAGGTCTCAGATGTTCCAGAAAAGTGACTCTTAAATGGCATTATGTTGGTGTCACGCAGCTGAGGAGAATGGGTAAAAGAGATGAACGAAACATTTCAACCACCCCTCCCATGGGTATGTTTCCACTGAAATGCCCTCCCCTTTAGATTCCTCCATCAGACCTTATCCATCTTCGAGGTCCAATAAGTCTTAAGAACTTCCTGCATAGCTCTCACCAGCCTGGCCAGAGGCTCCTTAGGAAATACACCTTTGTGGCTACGCCCAGCACCTTGGGGTACCTCCTGCTTTATATTCCCATCCACCAGCTCTGTTTTGGTGTCTCTGATTCCCACCACATAACTGAATCTCCCTTTGCCCAGACTCATGAAATTCATGCTTGGATAGTTCTATGTTTGGCTGTTCATCCCAACCTCAGCCCTGGACTTTTTTACATACATCCCCAAGCTCCATGTTCTCAGGCTCTGCTTTTAGGAAACCTGACTGAGTCCCACATAGTCAAGTTTAATTGTATTTCATATAAATAAGAAGGAAACATGGAAAAACTAAAACACACGCTTGGTGAGGACATGTTTGTCCTAACACTGATCTTTTTTATTTTCTTTTTATTTTTAGTTGACAGATAATAATTGTACATATTTATGGGATACAGAGTGATATTTTGATATGTGTATAAAATGTGTAATGATCAAATTGGGGTAACTAGCATATCACCTCAAACATTTATCACTTCTCTGTGTTGTGAACACTCAGAATCTTCTAGCTCTCTAATGTATATTGATAATATACAAACAATTATTGTTAACTATATTCACCCTACAGTGCTATAGGATACCAGAATACACTCCTCCTATCTAGCTATAATTTTTTATTTGTTAACCAACCTCTCCCCATCCCCTCCTGCCCCCACCCTTCTCAGCCTCTAATGCTCACAGCTCTACTCTCTTCTTCCATGAGCTAAAAAAATAAATAAATAAAATAAAAAAATGTTTTCAGTTCCCACGTATCAGTGAGAACATGCAATATTTATCCTTCTGTCAAC